TGTTCACATGGATAGGATACTAAATACATTTGCACACTTTTCATATGGTGGCCTATGTCCATATGTTTCTGTTTTGGTGATCGTGCCACAACCGTGCATGTATGCACAAGTCATAGGTGCGCTATAAAATAGCACTACACCCCTGCAATGTGTGTGAAAGACAATAAACTTTACAGCATGTTTTTTTAAATTGAAGTTGCGTTGGTGTTTGTGTGTTGGTTGTTGACGGCAGTATGTGCCCCCCCTTGGTAAATGATTGCCTCCCCATTTGATTTGTTCTAGAGCCGACCCTGGGGTAGGGGTAGGGTGTAGGGGGCGGTTTGGGAATGATCCTGAGTGACAGACAAGAATAGTCCATTCTAACTTAATGTGGAGAAAGAGATGTCCTGTATGTATGGGCTCAGAACAGTCTCATAATACACACATGCACACAGAAGGATTCAAACTTGTATTTCCGGATCCATACTTGTGTTTTTCAATGCACACACAAATGTATTCCGTTTCATATACATGTAAATAAAATCCAAATACAGAATTTTTTTTTACATATGTATTTTTGATCCTCACATATTTGTTTTCCGTTTAAAACCTCTGCACCTGCAAACACAAACAGCTTTCTGTGCACGGATCGCTTTGCATTCGTGTGTGGGTTTTATGAGACTCCCCTGACGGTCAGCCGATTCGTACTTGTAATTTTTTTATATCTATAGCCAATCAGATGTCTCCTTCATTCTAAGCCAATCACATGAGCGCGCCTCCACGAGGGTAAGATTACTTCATATACGCATTTTGCGCAGTCCGGTCAGCTCGCTAAACAGAGGGCGGAGCATCAGGTGATCATGCAGAGCAGCGTGTCTCCATCAGACTCAGCAGCTGATCTGATCTATCTCTTGCGTCCGGTTATACTTCACTCGCGTTTATGTCCATATCGATCAGATCCAGCTCTCCTGATCGGCCTTTATAGAGAGCACCGATCAAACTATTAAGAGTGAATATCGGCCGATAATGACCGGCGGGGCTCCCCCCCGAGGTCACTGTCTAGCACTGGCTTCGTAGTGCACTGATCGATTAGGCTAAGCTAACCTGTAGCTGCTCCCTCCACACTCACAACAACTTCATACAGACATAAATAAAGCAGCTGTATTCGCAATCGCCATACAGGAAACACACATTTAAAACGGTTTTGCCTGCCGTTTTTGTGTACACAAGCATTCATCAATGGTTTGGAAAGTGGCGCTGTACCTTAATAATATAAAGGCTTGTATTTGCGGGCATTTCCTGTTCGGAAAGTGGCGCTGTACTGAGAGTGGAGGGTGTCCTGAGATTAGCGCCTGCATGCAGGCTCCATGGAGCTGTCAGCTCCGGACTGCGCAAAATGCGTACATGAAGCGCTACGTCATGAACGCAGGAAATCTACCCTCGTGGGGGCGCGCTCATGTGATTGGCTTAGAATTGAGGAGACATCTGATTGGCTATAGATAGAAATAATTACAAGTACGAATCGGCTGACCGTCAGGGGAGTCTCAAAAAACCCACACACGAATGCACAGCGATCCGTGCACAGAAAGCTGTTTGTGTTTGCAGGTGCAGAGGTTTTAAACGGAAAACAAATATGTGAGGATCAAAAATACACATGTAAAACTTTTTTCTGTATTTGGATTTTATTTACATGTATATGAAACGGAATACATTTGTGTGTGCATTGAAAAACACAAGTGTGGATCCGGAAATACAAGTGTGAATCCTTTTGCGGATCATGAAATACAAGTGTGAATCCTTCTGTGTGTATGTGTGTATTATGAGACTGTTCTGAGCACATATATATATGGGTTGATTGTGCGTTGATCTGTTGGTAATGCCTCCGGGTTCCGGTGGGCATGTAAACAAATGCATAATGCTGCGCTATACTTTGTGGCCTCACCCAGTTGCATAGCGACGCTTATTGTTTAGGTGTCTTTTAATAAGCAGGTAGTCATATCATTAGCTAGAACTAGCTAGATCTGATCGATATGGACATAAACGCGAGTAAAGTCTAATCTGGGGCGGGAGAGAGAGATCAGCTGCTGCTGACGAGTCGACACGCAGCTCTGCATAATCACCTGCAGCGGTGAGCGAAACAAAACACACACTTCAGGTTAGAATATCACACACATAGCTATTTTAATGACCTCTCAAACTACCTAAACTAGTTATAGATACGTTTAGTTTTACTGTCGGGTCACTCATTACTGATCCGCGAGCTGCATGATACTGACGGACTGTCAGGAGAGGGAGAGAGCGCTCCGTTTATTATTCCCGTGTTATTATAAATTACTGTACACTTTTGAATAGTTAATCTACTATAATTAGTTTGTTTAATATCGAATCATATCAATTTGTTTTAAAGCACAATAAATAACAAAGAAGACCTTTGACCGGCACTTTTCTCATTTTGTCCGGAAGATTTAAACTTTAACGGACATGTTGACCGGCGAAAAAATATTCTAACGGGAACTCTGCTACAAACATTAAATTGGTGACAGAGATGCTGCAGGCATGCGCTTAGGGCCCGTGCTCCAGCCAGTTTCTGTGGGGTGACGCATTCTGAGGTGAGGCAGATCTCATCATCATCATCATCATCATCATCATCATCATCATCATCATCATCATCATCATCATCATCATCATCATCATCATCATCATCATCATCATCATCATCCATCATCATCATCATCATCATCATCATCATCATCATCATCATCATCATCATCATCATCATCATCATCATCATCATCATCATCATCATCACTTTACCCCACAGCAGAGCGCGCTCACAAAATAAGTGCCCGCGTTAAATTAGTGCCCGCGCTCCAGCCAGTTACTGTGGGTTTACGAGAGGCAGGCCCAATCCCAAACCACTCCCTCGACCCTACCCCTCCGTGATGGAGTGAACTCCGTCTGTAGCCACACTCGCAGCTCAACAAGGCTCCCTCCTGTCAGATGGAGGGAGTAAATACAGCAGCAAGCTTTGGGACGGCCTCCCCTCTCTCCGGCAGAAACAGGAAATGCCGTAACTGTATGTAACAACGGTTTCAAATCAGCATCTCTTAGACAAAAAGTTTAAATGAATAACTCAAATAAAACTCCAAACATCTTTCATTGTGTTTCAAAGCTCTTTTAGTTTTAAACCTGATGTGTATAAGCTTCTTAGTTTTTGCAACGGTCTGTAAATATACACAACTTTATAATAAAATGCACACGTTTACCTTTTTCTAGACTAAACACAGGTATGATCCTAAGTTAAAAACATATGAGGTTATCATGAGGTTGAACATCGCAATTTATCAGTGGATGTTTGCTGGAACTACTTGTAAACAGCGTGTTTCCTGACGGACACACACAGCGTGACTCCGGTCAGGTAGAGACCGGTCTCAAGTCAGCACCGCTGCAGACTCGCTGTTTGAGTGCTTGATAGCCCCCACTCCCCCTCCACACCGCTCCACACTCGTTGGTTTGGAACAGCCCTCAATATGGCGGACCCTCCGCGTGAACGCGCAAACGGAGGGGTAGGGTGTAGGGGGCGGTTTGGGAATGGGCCGCAGTCAGAGCTCGTCCCTGCCTCACTTCTCATCGCTACCCGTAGTTGTAGAGGAGCTCGGCAAATTTGCTGATTTTGACTATAAAAAGCGATTGGAATCATACATAAATCACATTTACAAAACAGATCAGTGGAGACATTTTATTATTATTACTATTTAGTTTTTCTTTAGTTGTTTTTCCGTTACATTGGAGTATGACAGGTGAGGCCCTGCCTCCCTGACTGCACGTCGCTAGTCTCTACAAGTAGCCTACTATGATTGTGTTTGTGCCTGTAGCGTTATTGTGTATTTACAGTATGCACAGATGTCATGACAGTCTGTATATTGTCTCTTAGTAAATAAAAACCACTGACTACGTTTTGAATTTGTATTTCAGGGCCTTATTCTAGTTAAAAGCTCTCTGTCTGTATCCCAATTCAGTTTTTTAAATAATTTCTTACAATGTGATTCAATTAGTATTACCTCTTTTTTATCATACAACACAAACTTTCTCAACAACATCCTTTCTTTACATAAATGAGGCCTGGAAAAGGTTCCTCAGATATCAAATGCTGCGACTTAATGTGACACATGTTACGATTATTGTGTTATGTCACGTTTTGTATGTCTTGTTTTGGGTGTTTTGCTGTTCTCCCTGTCATGTTTTCCTCCGTGTATATTGTCTGGTCCTTTTCTCTGTGTTTTTCCTCCTGTCGTGAGTTTCCCTGGTGTGTCAAGTTGTCTGATTGTATTCACCTGTGGCCCTTGTGTTTCTCCTCCCCTGCCCGGCTGTTTCTCGTCTTGTGATTACCCCTCCCTGTATTTAGTCTTGTCTCTTCCTGTGTTCAGTGTTGGTTCGTCTTTTGTTTGTGACTGACTTCAACGGTGAGTGTTCGGTTTTGTCCAAGTTATTTTTCAATATCCTTGAAATAAAGGTTAATCTGAGTTATCTGCATTTGGGTCCTGCTTTCTTCACTCAACCGTAACAACACAGCAATGTCACCTGCTTTTTTACTGCTTAAAATCTATGTTCTGTTTTGACTTATCTAACTTTTTTATGCTCAAGGTTCACTTATAAGCTGCCACCTCCAATTCTTGCTGTCATTCAGACCAAACTGGCCTTCAATATGGTGGAAATATGAAGTTTTCTATGTTATAACGACTCGCGTATACAGTTAATCTAAGCAGTTATTCTCGTACAATACACCATTGATAAGAATGTCATTTCTAAATAATTTTGTGTCTAAATAATTGGTCTTGAATTAAGTTGCTGTTTGCGGTCTACCTACCATCCTGTCTCTATTTTTAGTTAAAAATGTACATATTGGTGGTGAGTGCGTGTGACAGAAATAAAAGTACAAGACTTTACAGATCTTCTTTGTACAGTTGTTTTTAACATTTTAAATGACTTATTGAAGAACACAGAATGGAAAAAGTGGGGCATTTTCAGCTTTCAAAAGAGTTTATTTTACTGAAAAATAAATCCAGATCATAGGTCCTTGTCACTAGATTCTGTAGTCGGGTCTAATGGCGCTGACACAGCAATCCCGAAACAAAACATTGCTTATCTGAACACACAAACCTTACAATATCCATGTAAACTGAGCCCATTGTCAGACAACACCATAGTTGGTACGTTCCTTGTCATTTTGCAATAGAACAATGTGCAAATCGCAACACATTTTCTTAACAAATACAATTCACATGAAATGATGTAAAACATTATCCAACTGAATGGATTCGGTGGTACATGATTTTGAATTAGTGCTGGAAGGTCTAACTACGCTGTTGTCCAGCTTCTAACTAACATGGGTGCTTTACTCAAGAAAATGAATTTAGATATGCTCATAAACCCAGTAGCCTCTAATAATTAAGCAAAGTGAGTTGGGGCAATTTCAAACGTAATAAAACATGGATGAAAAAGTCAACCTTAGTTTGTGTTCTGGAAACGACCGCAATCCAGGGGCGGGGTTTCCTTGGAGCATCTGTATATGTTGTGTTTGTTTTGTCATCAGTGGGACAAAGACTTGTGCTTACATGCAGAAAGAGGGTGACGTTACAGTTTTCTATTGCAGCAATAAGCCACAGCTTTGTTTCATTCTGACTGTGCCTTTTCAACCAGGGCACCTTTTACATATGGAGTGTCTCCCCATTGTTACAGATGTGTTTGCAGCCAACATATTGTGGCTGTCAGTACGTGTTTGCCACAAGTAGAACCTGGGAGCTTTCTACAAATGAGTGTTGCCTACAATGCCGCCAGGTGACTCTGCAGAACTGCACGTCTTCGGTGTATCCGATCATTGTAGGCACAGCAGGTTTCCAAGGAATGACTACAATGCATTCTTCGATTGTATGTTTCTGGTGAAGTGTAGCAGCTGTCCTCCTCGCAGAGCAAGTACCAGATGGAGAACGGAGCCTCCCTGGATTTTATAGTCTGCCGCTGTTTTCTCATCGTTCCTGGGAATAAAAATGCCGTTCAGAAGACAGCAGAAAATCTACTATCAAAAAAGACATTTTACTCAAAAATAGGTCCTAGACATATCGTTTAATTTTAGGTTAGTCTGGATGCTAGTAGGTCATTCTAATTTCAGCTGCAGATTAATATGCATATGACGCTTTACTGTTTTTTTAGTCTTACATCTGTTTCCCACTGTAGATCAACCTCTGCTGCTGTGGAGGGATCCCTTCTTTCTCCTCCACCCTTTCTTTAATCCGCTCCACCTGCAAGGAAATGAATTTAAACATGTTTGAACACACACAGATTAACATACACATATAGGGGGGGGGGTGATAGTTGTATACCTTATCTGTGGGCTCAATGTCAATCTCTATCTCTTTGCCTGTGAGTGTCTGAGATACAAATTGTAAATAAAGGTTATGATTAGCTAATTATGAGACTAGACACAACGCAGCAATAACACATGTTTAGATGGCTTTGCCTTACCTTTACTTTAATCAGCATTTTGTAAATAAACAGGAGCAGAATGAGATCGCGCAATAATGACAAGTATTTTTGGGAGGAAACTCGTTATCCCTTCTAAAAAGTAAATGGGTGTTTCCTGTGTTCTTCACTGAATGATGCCTCCTTCTTGTTTGAATGTCAACAGTTCCGCATCAACTTGATTTTGGTCGTCGCATTTGCTTTATTTGTCGCCTAAAAGTCACAGCATTAGCCCTCTAAATTATACAACACTAATGTTAGTACCATAGGTTGTACCTCCCACGTTACAACACAACTTTGTTTAATGAATACCTAAAACAACCGTTACGACATAACCCAACGTGGCGAAAAGCGAGTCTCACGTTTGTAGTTCTTCAGCTCGTCACCGCCTACTAGATAAAGCCCTTAAAAACTACAACGGGGCTGTCAGTTGCTGTGCGCCTTCGAAAAGCTTCCTGTGCACACAGTGGGAAAAAACTAGCGGCACAGACAAACCAACCACCCTTTCCTAAAGGTAAATACTTTAGTTTGCTACATAGGAAAGATCTTTTTAATAGTTTGTATTTAGTTAAACATGTTGCTATGCTAATTAAGTGAATACAGTTTGTAAACTTATCACCGATGTAGCATAGCTAACCTTGAATGTTGACATAGGGGCTACAGAAGCAACGCTGTTATCTTTGTGGTGTGTTTGGGTGTCTCTCAGTAGAATGTTTGCATTATTATGAAAATGCTAGCCAGCTAAAGATTACATTAAATCATCTCCACACCAAGTGGTGGATAAATGTTTGACTCATGTTGCTTTTCATTCTGGAGGATTTTTCCATTGCATGTGTTCCTTCCATACCTTAATTTACACCATGCCTGATGTAGCTAGTGTATTAAACCTATGTGAGCATATGTGGATGCAAAAGAAGAGAAAACGTGGGTGTAAAAAATCAAGAATAGACACAATACAAGCAAATTATCCATAACTTTGTCCTCCTTCTCTCTCACAGATTCACATTTTTGCTAAGTTTCACATTTTTTGGTTACACATTACACATCCTGCAAAGCCTGTTTCCAAAATGCCTCGCATTGAGAATGACATCAAGCTGGACTTCAAGGATGTGCTCCTCCGTCCAAAGCGGAGCACACTAAAGTCTAGGAGCGAGGTAAGTTTTGTGGATTTTTTTTCTCCCAAAGTGAAACCAGTGTATCATTGCTCCAATAAATGGATTCCTATTTGAGCAAATCTGTAGAAGTATTAAGTACACTGATGTCTCATTGCTCTTGTTTTTCGCAGGTAGACCTCTTGCGGAGCTACACTTTCAGGAACTCCAAGGGCAGCTACAAAGGGATCCCCATCATCGCTGCAAACATGGACACCGTGGGGACCTTTGAGATGGCCCTGGCTTTGCACAAGGTTAGCATCATCATGTTACTAGTTATTTACAAATGGCTTCATACAGCACATGTTGTTGTTTATCATTTAATCTTGTCAATGTTGTTGGAGCAAGGTAGTCCTTTCGTTGGAAGGAGAGGTGTCTAACATAGTCTTAATAAAACTATACATAGATCATGATATGCTGAATGTACAGTACTATAACTCGCACAGTACATAGTAATGAAGTGCTGAATTCATAGCAGAGGTGTTATCCAACATAAAGAGATATGCAGCTTTTCTCTCTCTGGCTCCAGCTGCTTCTGCCCAGAACATTTGTGCGACTCATGTCAGAATTCAATTTATGAATCACTGCTATTTAACTCTATGTTTCAAACACAGGCTGATAAGGACTGGCCTTGTTTCCTTTACCAGAGATGAGATGTTTGGTGGCTTATGTGTAGGATCTATACTTCTAAAGGGTCTATATCCTTGTAGTAATAATGAATAATGTATGCCTTTTCAATCAGTTCAGAATATGAAAAATAACAACGTATTCTATCGTTTTTGCAAAAATATCTCAACTGCCTTGTTTTTATTTTTCTGTCTAGTTCACTCTCTTCACCACGGTTCACAAACATTACTCCGTGGATGAGTGGTCGGCATTTGCAAAAAAGAATCCTGAATGCCTGCAGGTACTAAAAGTGTGAACTATTATGTACCATTTCAATTGGTTTGTTAATGCTGGTCTTAAGCCCTTCTCTTCTCTGTCTATCTCCAGAATGTAGCAGTGAGCACCGGGACCGGAGAAGGTGACTTTGACAAGATTTCAGCCATCATAGCGGCGGTGCCACAGCTGCATTATATCTGTGTAGACGTCGCTAACGGCTACTCTGAACACTTTGTTCACTTTGTCAAGGACGTCAGGGACAAGTTCCCCACTCACACAATAATGGTCAGTAAATGTGCAGGTTTAAACTGACAGTATGTGCAAATGGAATTGATGTTTACAGGTCATTTATTTTATTTTGCTCAGGCAGGAAATGTGGTGACCGGAGAGATGGTGGAGGAGCTGATCCTGGCTGGCGCTGACATCATCAAAGTAGGCATCGGACCAGGTAATCACACCCTAACTTTTCCAGGTCTATGTGTTATTTGTATCATGTTAAATTCACTTTTACATACCTCACGGAAAGGGGAAGATTTCCCAACCCCTATTCATTTGGCACAAACAGATCAAACAAAAGCTGTACATTAAGTTTCCTGTGAGTCATTTCTCACCCCTGTGTCTCCCTGTTCAGGCTCTGTGTGTACCACCCGCAAGAAGACGGGGGTGGGCTACCCTCAGCTCAGCGCTGTGATCGAGTGTGCAGATGCAGCCCACGGCCTGGGCGGCCACATCATCTCTGTGAGACTCTTCTCTTAAAACCCAGGGATTTATCCATAGAGTATAATAACTATTATATACAGTCTATGATTTAAACCTGTAACAGTGTGTCATATTGGCATTTTTTGCTTTCTCACTGTGAGTTTTTCACTGCCAGTACCATTGAATTGGACAAGATTTAAATTCACATTTTTTTCAACATTCAGTTTTAGAAGCTTTACAGTTTAAGGCAAGCCTGAGCCAGCCCTAACTAAAAGCTTTCTTAGTCTTAAGTCTCGTCTCAGATGTGGAAAGGGGGGTCTGCCTCCTGAGTTCATAGGTTATCGCTGTCGTCGGAGGAACATCTGTCACTCGTCATTAGCATACAGTAGCTAAGGGCTTCCATGTTAAAAAATTGGGTCGAGTGAATAAAAGATTGGCGGTACAATGCAGTGGAAATGCAGCGTTATTTGAGAACATTATTACCACCAGGCTAACCATGATAGCTTGGCTTAGCCTAGATGCTAGACATATCTAGCCTAGCTCTGTTAACAAAACTCAAAAAATGTTCCCTGCTTCAAGTTTTAGCTTTATCCTAACTAGTGCTATGGCTCAAGGTTCACATTGACAAAAAAGAGTGGTCAAGAGAGGTAACAATATTCTTATCTAGCTCTAGGCAAACAATAACTTCTCTTTCTGAGGCTATCTATCTAACTATCATTAATCTTCTCTTCCTTGAGTAATGTGGCTTGTTAGATGTGCATTTCACCCTGTGAATGTGCAGCCTTATCTTTTGTTCTAAATGCAGCCATGATAAACAGTCACACTTAAACCATTGTGTGGTTTTCTCTTCTCTCAGGATGGGGGATGTACTTGCCCAGGAGATGTCTCAAAGGCCTTCGGAGCTGGAGCGGACTTTGTGATGCTGGGCGGTATGCTGGCCGGCCACTCAGAAAGCGGGGGAGAGGTTATCGAGAAAAACGGCAAGAAATACAAGCTGTTCTATGGAATGAGCTCCGACACAGCAATGAAGAGACATGCAGGAGGCGTGGCTGAATACAGGTCAGAGTTATTTTGATGTAAACAGGAACAAAATGTGTGTACTGCTCTGATGATAACCTCTGTTTGTTTCCGCCTCCAGAGCGTCGGAGGGGAAGACAGTGGAAGTTCTTTACAAGGGTCCGGTGGACGTGACAATACGGGACGTCCTGGGGGGGGGTCCGCTCCACCTGCACCTACGTCGGGGCAGGCAAACTGAAGGAGCTGAGCCGCAGGACCACCTTCATCAGGGTCACCCAGCAGCTCAACACTGTCTTCGGGAACGACAGCTGAATATCCAGCTGGGTCCGGCTTCAGATCGAAGTATAACTCTGCAACACTGCATATTCATGTCTGATTTACACAGACATGAATATTAATACTGTTCTTTTACCATCCTTGTTTTTATTACATAAGCTAAGGTTCAATGCAAATCACTATATTGGTTTTTACTTTGACAACAACAGAAATATTTTCCGTTAGACTGAATGTTACTTTTTTCATATGAGCTTCAAAGTTAAAGCAGTTAGCTTCTTAGCATGTCCGGTATCTCATCATTCCAATGCAAAGGCCCTAAATTGTTATTTTTATGCAAATCTGAAGCTGTCCATGGACAGATCTATAGCAAATCTTTATTCCCTGATCCAGACTGTAAGCCTTCGTTACACACACATATATAAAAGTATAGCAAACGTGTCTTAAATTATTTCGAAAGTACAAAATATTTATGCAGCTGCTAGTTCTAAACATACTTTTAGAAATGAATCATTCCCTTTTTTTGCACTTTGTCATTTTAAAGTCAAATATTTAACTTCAGATATAATCACAAACTAATAAGCACATTTACATTAAGTAAATTACATTTTTGGAGCATTTATAATTGGACCAGTATGCTGAATGCTAGACCACAGTACTATAGTGCGTACAGTACATACTGTAGTAATGAAGTGCTGAATTCACAGCAGAGGTGTTATCCAGTACCAAAGTGTGTGTTGGCTTATGACGTTAACAATTCATTTATGAATCATTACAGCCTCTACATCAACGGGTCATTCCTTTTCAGTTTCACACCATGAGCGTGTAGTTACTCCTACTTTAACTGTGTTTCATTTTCTTATTGTCACATTGGTGTTAAAATGTCCAATTGAAATTTAGTTTTTTCAAATACACTTGTCTTAATCAGTCAATAAAAGCATTCCACATCTTACTCTTTTTGTTATGGCTTTATTATTGATTGGTTCATCCACGAATCGCAATGTGAGTAGGATACAAAAAACTAGAATTACTTTTGATTTAAAACCATGCAGTGTAAGATAACTGTAAAATGTGAAAGCAATGACACATTCAACACCATTAGAGGGAGACAAACACCTTCAACTGTCAGGCAGAAAAAGTAGAAACATAACCAACTCCCAAAACACACTGCCTACCATGTGTAAGTTGTTCACTATAAAGAATCACAACATATTGTTTGCACTAAAGGCACTATAATTATAATTGACAGCAAGTCAACATCTATCAATGAAATGTATATG